TGGTATGTAATTCGTTTTTACAAGTATCTATTCAAGATACTTGGTTCAAAAAAATTAAGCAAAATTAAATATTCATCTTTTTTACAGATGAGCCAAAGGATAGAAAGAAGCTCAACGCTACAAGTCAGTAAATTTTTTGTTTACAAAATACTTTTTTAAGTTTTAAGACTAACAGTTTTTATACATAATTTGTTACAGACAAACTCCTTCAAATGCATAATAATAAATGTAAGACATACTGAAAATGATTAATACTATAAATTTAAAGGTTTTGTTGTACTTGTGATTTACCTGAATATAAGGTAATTTTTATTTGCGACCTATAATCTCTGTAATTAAATGTTTCCCATTATTGGCTTTTGAGTGTATTGTATTTTTAAAAATTGATTTATACTTAAGAACTCCAGGAATTATCGTTAATGGTGAAGTCGAGGTTTGATAATAAGCTCAAATGATGCAACTTGTTTTGAGAATATTTCTCCAAAGAGTCTCCCACACGAATAATAAAATTACATTATTATTGATCTAGAATGGATATTATAGAATAATTGTGTAATGAAATTTCAACAGGGTTTATCACTAGTTAAATGGGCCACGTTTAACTCAAAATATACTTCTATTCAGAACGTTTTATACTTATGATGTCGCATAAAAATTTAATTTGATTTTTTAACTCAAACAATTATTTATTTATTTAAGATACACTTTGGGACAGATTCAAACATTTTGTTTGTGGAAATCAGCACTCAATGGGTAACTATTATTCTACAACAAAACCGATTATGCTAGTAGACGAAATGTTTTAGAAATGATACAATAATTATTGAAAAAACAATTTATCAATGCAATTATATGTGTGATTTACTCGTAAATATTAAAATTAAATCACTCAATATTTATTTGTAAATTTAACTCCCTTATTATTATTAAACGTGTATTTTCTTCGTTAACTTAATTCTTTAAATTTAAAATGGAATATGAAATTAAGTGTAATATCGTTTAAAAATATTTTTTTTGTTATCATTATTTCAGTGAAATTGAATTTTATGTTTGCAATACCTGGTAATAATAGAAAATATTTCCATTTAGTAGTTGGTTATTCACAAGTATAAAATGGTTTCGTTTTAATTTCAGAACAAGATTATGAAGGAGACACAATTAAGCGTAATTCCTATTTCATATTAATAATACATTACACACGGCTTTTACATTAGTTTTTAAATTAGGAGAAAAATCAAATACATATTAATTTTGTCATAACAATAGACATGTAGAAAAATGAATTATGTTTTTTTAATTTTAGAGCACATACTTGAGCGTGAACTGCAACAAGGACTACTCATGGAATCAGGTAATCAAAAAATTCAATATATTTTCCCAAACACTTTACAAAACTATTAATTACATTTCAATTGCTCATAAAAACATTCGATTTGAAATCATAGTCATACATTTAATATTTTTCACTTATTTTTTATGATCGTTTGATATCTTTCCGTTCATTTCTTTTACTCAAATGTGGCTAATACATATTATTTCAAGTGTTCTAAACTGAATCGATTATTATTTATGAAAGGGAATTTCTGTAAAAAGTTAAGCTTTCGGGTAATTAAAAATAACTGTGTTTCACATACAATTTTTCTTAAAAATAATTATGAAAAATATTTTTAATTTTTATGCGCTACACTTATTTTAATTTGTGAAAAAATGTTTTTAAAATGTGTTGTCTAACTGACAGTATGAGTTTAAATTGAGTGAATTTAAATATCATACGAATTCGACTTTTTTCATTCGGAAACGATCCGTCTATAGGCACAGAACATATGTATTAAAAAAATATCTAGTTATTTTCTCCGCTCCACGGAAAAACATTGAATCGTGGAAATGCTTTAGCATTACGGGTCCGTATAACCATAACGATTGTTTTATTATTAGGTATAATTAATATAAACATTGAACATTTCAGTAAGATGTTTTTATATTAAAAAAATGTAATAATGTATGTAATCATAAGCTTGTCACTCTTCGTACACCCCGCGGTAATTAATCGTAAAATTCACACTGAATAAACTAGTGTACACGAGTGAATGAATGAAATGAAAATGAAAAAAAAAGAATGGAAAAGTCGTAAAACTTTATCGACCGCAGCAACCATTAATTCTTCTCTTATTACTATACTTACACGTTTTACGCATAGGACACTAGTACTTTTTCTTAATAAAATAACATTCTAGCGTATAGTGTTTGGGCAAGTTTGGCTTTTTTAATAATAGCTCATTAGATTTATTTTAGCATTACGATTCCGCAAAACTACCACAGTTTCTAAAAATTTTCGTTTAGGTTCCTAATACTTTTTTCTTGTAAGTTGATATTTTAGTGCAGTGTGTTTGTACAAGTTTAGCTTTGTTGTAGTGTATTTTTCAAAAAATGTTTAACGTAATACTATGACATTTAATTTTGAAAAGGTTTTGGCACTATGAGATTCATACATTTATCGTCCGCTCCTGGCGCTGAACAATTTATAGCAAACTTAACGTATGGGTCTCTGGTACTGTGACCGGCAGCGACAGAGTGTGTTATATAGTACCCTGGTACCCATTATTATTATTCAATCACTAAATCTTTATCTTTATGTTGATGGCGCGAAATCGTAGCATCGTAAAATCGTTACTAGTAATATTCAACAAAATGTTGACTTAGTCTATGTAATCTCAGTTTTAAAGTTACCGTTATACGTAGATCTAATAAAATACTTATTTTCAATAATCGTACAATTATTTATTGCATATTTTGATGTTTTAGTTACAGGCAATATTGAATTCGAGTTTGTTGATGATATTGGTAATTACGCTTTATTCCGTTATGTATTTATACTTTATTCTTAGGTTTGAATAAGAAATTACATTTTTTTTCACATTGTTTTTATACAAAGTGATCTCAATTTTTTAAATTTTGTTTTTTTTTTTACCTCCCTTGCAAACTAGTTTTTTGAGGAAGTGCGGTTGGGAAATGAGCGCAGATAAAAATAATAATACACTCCACCTTTCCTCCTGCCTTAAATTTGAAACTTCAATAACTTCATAATTTTATATTGGAGGCCATTGAAAAACGCACACAGGTGGATGTTATTTTTACGGATTTCTCCAAACCGTTTGATCGAGTAGAACATAAAATACTAATTGAAGTTCTATATAAAGCTGGATTTGGTGAGCCCATTCTATCTTGGTTCAAATCTTATTTATCTGGTATGGTCCAATGTGTTAAAGTCTTAGGATGTAAATCTAAAGCAGTCTATGTACCTTCAGGTGTTCCTCAAGGGGAGCACTTATCCCCGTTGTGGTTTTCTCTATTGGTTAATGGTCTAAAATTGGTTATCCCAGATTCTATGTTCCTTATGTTTGCTGACGATTTGAAAATCTACAGGATAATTGAGTCAGTAACTGATTGTGTTACCCTCCAGAACGAGCTTGATGTTCTTGTTTTGTGGTTCAATTCTATGTGACCAAGCTTTTATGTAGAAAAATGCCAATCCATGTCTTTTGCTAGGAATAGAAATATTATTAGCTATACATACTTGATAAATGGGTCAAGCATTAATATTGTTACTAGGTAGAAATACTTGGGTATTCTTTTTTGTCCAAATCTCGATTTTCATTACCATATAGAGGCAGTTTGTTGTCGTGCGTTAAAGATGCTTGGCTTTGTCATACGCACGTCAAAAAAATTTAAGCTCTCTAGTTCTCTAAAAGCTTAATATTGCTCTCTCGTACGACTTCTTTTAGAATATTCTTCCATTCTTTGAGACCCTTTTACGGCAGCTGACTCTTCTTGTATTGCGAGGCTCCAGAGGCGTTTCTGTTCTTCGGCGTCATTTATTTTGCAAATTCCACATCCAACGCAAGATTATAGGCCAGTGTTGAATAAACTTGGACTCTTGTTTCTAGCGGATAAAAGAGTTGAAGCTAATTTGGTGTTTTTGCACAAGCTAATTGACGGACGTGTGGATGCTCCCTCTCTCCTTTCTCTAATTAATTTTAAAGCTCCTTCTCACTTAACCTTCTTTCTACTACAGCCAATATTCTCTCATCCTCTAACGTTGTTGGCCATGCCTCACATGCATACGTTATGATAGGTCTTGCTATTACTTTGTATAGTATCATTTTCGATTTATTTGATAGTAGCTTTGAGCGCAGGCACTTAGATAGTGCTTGTAGACATCTTATGTAAAGAAGGTTTTAAAAAGACACCATGTAAACGTATAATTCCAATAAAAACATATATGAACGATTTGTGTGTTTTTCGAATAATGTAGTATGCATTTTTAAATTTCGCTGTGCTTACTAAGGTTACATAATTGTCATTATAAAAGCACTTTACAAAAGTATTTATACTTTTTTAACACATTTATTGAATTTTTCAGGTAGTGATATAAAAAATGTGAAAGAACTTGGAGCTGAAAGAAGAAAAATAATAAGATATAGTTTAAAATCGTTAATAGCCAATATAATACACAGTAAATAATAAACTTCTAAAAATGTATTGGTTATTCGGAGAAAATTCATATTTGGACCAACAAACATTACAGTTAACACGATACATTTATAGTTGAAATAACTACATAAATAAATCATTCAACTAATACAAACTTAGTCCAACAAATTATTTAATACTTATTTAATCGTTACAGTTTTTTATTAGGTTATATCCGTACCTCAGAGTAAAAGTGTATTAAACAAAAAATTTCAATTTTTCTGGTTTTTTGGTTCACTTAGATTGAAATTGCACGCTCTATTCAAGTACAAGAGTGTATATAGTATATATATACCTTTATGACTTTTGGCCTCTAGATGGGTCCATCTAAGCTCATTTATTTTAACTAATTAGTTAATTATTTATTAATTAGAGGTTTAGAGGTGGACGTTCAAGAAAAAATGAAAGCCACGAGTGTGAGTGAAAGTAATAGAGGAAATGTATGATGGAGCAAGTACAAGAGTGAAGAGTTTGTGTGGAGAAATAGAAGATTTTAGTGTAAGAGTAGGTGTGCATCAAAGTATAGCGTTGAGTCTTTACTTGTTCTCTTCAGTAATGGACGAGATTACGAAAGATGTACAGCGTTAGTGGGAAAAAGTCTGGTAGAATTGGCTGAGAAACTTGAAGGTAAAAGACTGAGGATTAGAAGGAGTAAAACGGTGATAATCGTGTTTATTTTTGGAGAATGTTATAGGGTAAAACAGGTATTGCAGTTGGGTGATATTGAAGTGTGTAAGGTTGATAGGTTTATGAAGAAGAAATTAGTAATTATTAATTTATTAATAAATAATTTTATTATGTGTTTTCCTGTAAAATTTATATTTTGTGACTCAATACACTTTTTCTCTTGGGTGAAGATAAAAGATTAATCTTAATTTTAGTTTGTCCAACTATGTATTTTTGTCAGTGCAGCAAGCTGAATTTAGATAACTTTTAAAAACTCTTTTTTAGACCCAGGGAGCCACGATGTTACATTTGAGCATACATGTCAAATGGTAGGATTGTACTTAAGTATCAAGTTTGCAGACAACTACTCAACTTCTGCTGTTGTTACACCTCCGCCTGACAATACTTGTGTCATAAGCAATGGAACTACAGTCTTGCTATCTTGCAAATATATCACTTGGCGTAAAAGACTTTTACGTCTTGTAGATAAAGATAACCATGAAACATATGGGGAAGACATACTTCTATCTGTATTACGTACTTAAATGTACTTGCAGTTTAAATTTTTAGTATATTTGCACACTAGTATAAAAAATTGTCTAGTAATTTAATGTACCGCACAATAAAATATCTTTGCTCGCTACTATAAATTATTTTATTACTTTCAGTCATAATTTGTATTGGCTATATACAGGTGTAATATAAAGGCAACTTAGGTCCTTTGTCAGGACCACTACTCCTCTCCATCTATCACATCCGTTGACGTGGCTTCACCATTATTTATTATTAGTAAGTTTAATTCCTTCCTTTTTTTTTAACACAGAAGATGGACTCAGTTTATATAGTTAACTTTGGTCAAAGAAATATTCGTTTGAAAATATTTTAGTTATGGCTCTCCCATACAAATATTTAGACTGCTGCCAATCATTAACGGAGCCAAACGAGTTCGTTCAAGAATGAAGTGGTCATATTTTCATTACGACGTTTAGCCATAATATATCAATTATTAACGAAATAAGTATCTTTTAAATATTTCTAAAACAAATTCATATATACAGGGTGATTTAAGCTTTGATGCAAACCAGCGAAGGTTCTACCTAAATGCGGCCTTTTTTTTTTTGACTGTATACACTGTAACTTTTTTAATACTGGACCAATTCCTTCGAATAGCAACTCTATAAATCACAAATTTCATCTAGTTAGTACTGTAATATAAAGTACAATTTAAGTAAATAGATTAAGCAAAACAAATTGTATGTTTAAATTGTGTAATATTATGTACTGTGTAACAATAACGCCAATTCGGGAACTCATACAAACGACCCACTTGAACTTAATGTAAAATAAGCAAAACAATATTAACTATTTTTACTATAAAAGACTTATGTCAAAATAGCCAAGGTAACTCTCCACTTAGCATAGGTACTCTTACCTAGGTGGAGACCATTTTGTACTCACCTCACAGTACTGATCGTTTTGTGTGTTTTATGTGCTATTCTACTTGTTTATAAACTCATCTTGTGTTGTTATTTGAAACTTTCATAACTTAAAAAATAGTTATCCGAAACTGGTTATAGACCAGTCAAATTTTTAGTACATTATTCTCAATTTAAAAAGTTAATAACATATATACGTTACCATTAGAGTTTCAAAAGTAGCTATAAAAAAAAAACGAGTTAAGAGGGGGGTATATACAAAAAAAATTGTTAATAATTGAGTTCAAATTTGATAAAAAAGAAAACTTTAATTTCTTATTAAACCCTATAAGATATGGAGTGGCTCATGATACAAAAATCACCCTGTATAGAGTTAAAGGTACCGAGTGGTTATTGATCTTCAAGCAATATCATTTTGCGCCCTTTATTAAATTTTATTAATTTAATATTTCTAAAAAAAATATTAGATAGGTTCGTATTTTATAATATGTATTAAATACAAATTTCAAAATTCATCTATAGTAATTGTCTAAAGTGCTATTATTTAATAGCGACAGCTTTTTACTACTCACTTTTAAGTTAAAGTTTAACTCTAAATTAAGCGTACTAGACAACCTTTTTAGTAATTAAAATTGCAAATGGTCTTTAATCCCTAAGTTCGCTGCATTTTACGCTTTTTACCCAAAACATTTTTTGGGGTCTCGGCTCGAGTGGCCCATCGTGTTAAAATCCCTAATTAACTGGTAACAGGTAAGTATAAATAAGATATCAACGAGCTTGTAATCGTGACGGCACGGACCCATCTTATCTCGTCGTAATCACATATGCGATAACGACATCCATATTGCCTCTTATAACAATAATAACATTAAACCAACCGTTCCTCCGCTTGTTATACCAAAATCTCGCATACAGAGCGTGTTAAATAATTCGCCTACCTCATCTAAATCATCAGGAAAAATGTCGACTGAATAACTCCAAACGTTTAAGTTTACTAAACCAAACAGCACATTAAAACCAACAGTCAAAAAAATGTAATTCACATAACCGCTTCTCGCCACTTCAATCACACACTACTGACAATACAGATACCAATGTAATTGATATGGACCTTACTACAAACGACGTTCCTGTTACCATTCGTCCAAATAATCCACCACCTCTTATCTATATTCGAGTGTAAACGACTTCAACACTTTCTTCTCTAAAATTTATGAAGCTACCAAAGGTGAAAAGTTCCTTTGCAAAAGTTCCACAAATGGAGTAAGACTATCCACCAGTTCTGAAAAATCTTATAGGAATATCATAAAATTCCTTCAGTCCGTTAAAGCTGATTTTCATACGTTTCAACTGAAACAAAAAAGAGCCTTCAGAGTGGTTGTTAGGAACCTCCTTCCGACGACTGCAGTCGAAGAAAAATAAAACGAACTACTCCTCAATAGTCATATCGTCAGAAACGTATCTAACGTATTTTTTATAGATTCCTTATGTCTTGATTTATATGATAACATTTAATTTAATTATAATTTAAGCAATTACAAAACAAGTTAATACAATTTTTCTTTCAAAACGTAGTACTAATGTTGTTTTTTTAAAGAAGAGAGGGATATTACAAACTTTTTCATATGATTATGTAAAAACGGATATTTCTTTGAAATAAACGAAATAAAAAAAATTAATAATATGATACTTTTTCAATTTCCGAGAAAAAAGTATAATAGTTGTTTAGAATAGTTTAAAAATACAATTATTAATGGTTTTTAATTGATACTGAAATTTTATATATCAACATCATCCATGGCTGGTCATATAAAACACTCGGCGTACACAGGGGTACCGGGTGGTTACGGATCTTGAAGCAATATCATTATGCGCCCTTAATTACTTTTTATTAATTAAATATTTCTAAAAATAAAAGAAACGGAGGTTAAACGAAAAAGAGAGACATACAGTGAATGTTTTTCTGAATCAAATATATTTTATAATTATTACTTATTACAAGGAGTTTTTGTAAAATCAGTTATCGTGTAATTGTAATACCATATTGTAGTATTGTTATTTTTATCAAAACTAAGCCGTTATTCTCAGTGACTGCTGTAATGTAAATAAAAGGTTATTAATATAGCTATCTTAAACTTTCAATACAGAGCGATTCACGATAATATACAATATTTGTCATTTATTTCAATAATTATATTTTTTATCTTATCGGAAACAAGTTCTTTTTCACACTAATTGTTGCGATATAAGTTAATAAAAAACAACTGAAGGTATCATACATTAATAAGTTTTAGCATCAAATATCATAGCACTTAAATATCACAGCTCCCAATTATAAAAATAAATATAATTTAAGTTTTGTACAATATTGGATATCTAATCCTCTAGTTAATACGTTTTTTCATTATTGTGTTTATAACATAATTTAAGTTTGAAACAACACTTGTGTTCTAAAAAAACCATAATAGCTCAATACATTTTGTTAATGTAAATATGGCTGCTCATATTATGCTAAAACTCAAGCTGTATAATGTCTACAGATATTTGTTATTTGTTTACATTGCATCAACTATTGAGAAAAATACGGTATTTTATGAAAACATATCGTTGGTTTTTGTTCAACACTGATATTTTAAGCAAAATTCAATATGAATGATAAGAGACAAAGACCTCGCGTTCAGGGAAGATACCTGGGGGGAAATTGTACAAACTCTATGGCATTGCTTTGTAAAATATTTGAAGAGATTTTTTTTCTAGCCTATTTTTTTCAATTCTAAATTCACCCTTGGCTTCATCATAGGTAAATTATTTTACTAAAAATAAATATAATTTAGGTTTTGTACATTATTGGATATCTTTTACTCTAGCTAATACATTTTACTGTGTTTATACATTCATAATCCGATATTTAATAATATACCATAGTATAAGTTTAAAAGAACAATTGTGTTCTAAAAAAACAACAATACATCTATAAAAGTTGTTGATGTAAATATGGCTTCGCATATTATGCTACAACTTAAGCTGTATAATGCCAACAGATATTTGTTATTTGTTTACATTGCAACAACTATTGAGAAAAATACGGTATTTTATGAAAACATATCGTTGGTTTTTGTTCAACACTGATACTTTAAGTAAAATTCAATATGCAAGTTAAATTATAATATGAACGATAAGCGACAAGGGCATTTGCGTTCAGGGTAGATACAAGGGGGGATGATGTACCATAAGCTCCTCACTTGATTAGAGACAAGGGAGGATGCTTAGGAAGGGGGCTATTGGTGTTATTGCTTTTTCCTTACGTACTTAAATAGTGTGCATTAAAAGTGTATTTTTATAGGCTTTAATTTTAAAAAAAAAAAAATATTTGAATATGTATTGTTTTTACTATAATATAAACTTTAACTTTTAAGTCTATTGATTTGTATAATTAAATTGTATTTGAAGAGAATTTCTATTTCTAGCCCCTTTTTTTAATTCTACATTAGCCCTGGTTTCATCAGAGATAAAAGGTCATTACAGCATCTTGCGAAAGCAGACAACTTTGTAATTCTGTTCACAGTTGACCTCAACAACGAGGCCAAACACTAAAAGGAACTTAATGTTTTGGCAACTACCGCGCGAATCTCACATCGAAGCTAGCCAATTTCGACCATGCGAAGGCTGCACTCTCATGCCTCTACCTTTCCTCCACCGTTGACATAAGCGGATGTCATGGGCGAGCGAGGTCATCCACGCGCGGACTTTCGATAATTGCGAAGATTTCCACGGCCATTCAACGAGCGGACCAGCATATAAGGGAGAACTTGAGTCATAGCAGAGGAGATGAGTTGGGTCCGCCACACACTACACTTGAAGTTTCTACCTATCATTTTCTTTTGAAGTCTTAAGCGGCTTATAATTGTCTTAGTCATCCTATTTATGAAGCATACTGAACTTATGCTATTAACTGTTTGACGTTGTACATGTTTTATAAGTATATCAAATTAAATGTTTGTGATTTACTCTGAAGTTAGTCTATTAAATATCTAAAAACCTATCACCACGATTGTGACAAGACTCAAACAGCCTGCAATACATACGTACAGGGCTACAGGGTTGTTACAGAAATCTAATTTCATTGATTGCCAATTAGTTGGGTGTTTTCGATAAGAATTGGATACTTAAAATAATTAAATAGTCATTATAAAGTG